CAGAAATGATCTAATGAGCACCGGTGCTCATCTTATCCTAAGCACGGATGAGTGGGCACATTAATTAATTGGTGGATAAAGATTTTGTGAGTTCCAATCCACCAATGAATTAATGTGCCAACTCACTGGTGCTTAGGATAAGATGAGCACCGGTGCTCATTAGATCATTTCTGATATATATATATATTAACCCTTTGTTTGGGCCATTTTGGAGAATTTATAAATTTTGGAATAGCGATTTATAGGAGAATGTGTGATTGAAAAATAATGAAAATTTTTAAATTTGTGCGTAACATTATTTTATTTGAAGAATGTGTAGTCAAAATTAAGAAATAAAAAAATTTTTAAAAATTTAATGGAGCTAAAAAAGGGCTAAATAAGAACTTCTTTAAACTTCAATAACTTAAGCTTCGATTATTCGAATTAACTTTTTCTCTAGCCTAATATGGATGATTAAATACGAGCTATCTAACGAGCCCAATATTGATATAATAATTATCACTTTATCAATAATTAATTATTTGACCCAAAATAATATTGGATTTAATACTATTTTACCTTAGTCCATCAATTTTTCAAAATTATAAAAATATAGCAGATAGAACAAATAGTTTTACTCTATAAAATTTTCTAGGTGTTACAAAAATTGTATGGAAGGCATAATTAATCTATCAAAATTATATCTCTGGTAATTTCCACATGCATAATATTTTAATGTGGCCTATTTGGAGATCAATGGAATTAATAAGATATGCTTATACGGTCCACTTGGAGATTAATTGAATTGCGTAGCATATTTTAATTTGGTTTATTAGAGATTAATTGGTGTAAATATTATGGAGTGTTAACAACATACAAATTTGCCAAATCTGTTGATCCCGAAAAATGCGACGTTTACGTGGACACAGATATCGGGTCTATTCACGCCAACTCAAGCAAATTCCAACGCATTTTGACCTGAGTGCCGATGAGAAGCGGGATGAATGTGAATGCAGAAGATGCTTTACGGCGTGAAACAAAAGTGTTCAATTACCGACGGGTGGAACGAAGATAATTGCACTAATTAACAACAATCATTAATTGAATACTAGAGTAACCCATAACAAGATTAAATGTCGTGTATGGAGGAAAAACTAAAAGATATGTATAGAATTTTCCAAGATCATTTATTATCAATGGTTCAAGAGTCTAAAATCCAACCCCTTTTTAGTTACAAAGATGTTCTTTTATAGTGCATTGGCCGACGTGGTGTTTGTTGGATTAGAATCACGTGGCATCATCTCCTTGACTGATGCTTCACATTACTGGCTATCATACAATAAATACATTGACAATAGATCAGCCGCCCTAAACAATATGATGACATATCTGACATTTTTTATTATAAACGTTACATCAATCATTTCTAAAGATTGCCTAAGGATCTTTGAAGAGACAAGTTCAGCTTCATGAGTTTCAGTTGGATTAGGGGCCTTGGAGGAAAGTTCTTCTCGTGAAGAGCTTTGACTTCTTCCACTTTTATTCAGCGCTTCAGATTATACACTTTAGCCATTTAGACAGTGCTTCGGCTTAAGAGCTTCGACCATTAGAGTCTAAACGGCGTTAGGGGCCTTAGAGGAAGGTTCTTCTCGTGAAGAGTTTCAGCTTCTTCCAATTTTATTCAACGCTTCGGATTATACACTTCAGCCGTTTAGACAGTGCTTCGGCTTAAAAGCTTCGACCACTCATATGATTTCTTTACTTTTGACTGTTAGGTCTTTGTTGACTTTTTTGCCCACTTGATTTGCTACGTGACACTTTGACTTGAATCACAGAGGCGGGGATTGTTACGAAAATCTGGCACGTGCTCCAAATGAAAATCAGTATTGTGACTTTTGCACACCTACGGTTGCGCAAGATGGCCACCTGAATTGTCTTATTTCGAAGTTTTTCATTGATCAATGCTTATTATTGAGGCATGCCTCCCATCCACCCGAGATCATCTTATAAGACATCCAATTTATACTTCGACCGTCCACTCGAGGCCATTTAACAAGTCCTCGCTCATAATTATATTATTTTTTAAGGCAAGCCTTCACCTGTCTTATTACTGAATGTAAGCTGGTTAGTCCTTGCACATATAGTCTAGTTCGTAATCCTCCCATTATTGCTTGTGAGAGTTTTTCATTCTTAAGGGACAAAAATTGGGTGGAGAATCCTCATATAAACTCGATCTGAAATAATTAAAGTCCACCACCACAAACGATGTAACCCAAACCTTATTGGGCATTTAGAGGAAATCAGCCCATTGGGCTAGATGCTCAATGCCCAATTATTGGAGATAATTTATAAATTTTAGAATAGCGATTGATAGGAGAATGTGTGATTGAAAAATAATGAAAATTTTTAAATTTATGCGTAATATTATTTTATTTGAAGAATGTGTAGTCAAAATTAAGAAATAGAAATTTTTTTAAAAATTTAATGGAGCTAAAAAAGGGCTAAATAACGACTTCTTTAAACTTCAATAACTTAAGCTTCGATTATTCGAATTAACTTTTTCTCTAGCCTAATATGCATGATTAAATACGAGCTATCTAACGAGCCCAATATTGATATACTAATTATCACTTTATCAATAATTAATTATTTGACCCAAAATAATATTGGATTTAATACTATTTTACCTTAGTCCATCAATTTTTCAAAATTATAAAAATATAGCAGATAGAACAAATAGTTTTACTCTATAAAATTTTCTAGGTGTTACAAAAATTGTATGGAAGGCATCATTAATCTATCAAAATTATATCTCTGGTCATTTCCACATGCATAATATTTTAATGTGGCCTATTTGGAGATCAATGGAATTAATAAGAAATGCTTATACGGTCCACTTGGATATTAATTGAATTGCGTAACATATTTTAATTTGGTTTATTAGAGATTAATTGGTGTAAATATTATGGAGTGTTAACACCATACAAATTTGCCAAATTCTTATGAATGGAATCTGTTGATCCCGAAAAATGTGACGCTTACGTGGACACAGATATCGGGTTTACTCACGCCAATTCAAGTAAATTCCGACGCATTTTAACATGAGTGCCGATGAGAAGCGGTATGAACGTGAACGCAGAAGATGCTTTACGACATGAAACAAAAGTATTCAATCACCGACTGGTGGAACGAAGATGATTGCATTAACAACAATCATTAATTGAATACTAGAGTAACCCATAACAAGATCAAATATCGTGTATGGAGGAAAAACTAAAAGATATCTATAGAATTTTGCAAGATCATTTATTATCAATGGTTGAAGAGTATAAAATCCAAAAATCCAACCCCTTTTTAGTTACAAAGATGTTCTTTTATAGTGCATTGGCTGACGTGGTGTCGTTGGATCAGAATCACATGGCATCATCTCCTTGACTGATGCTTCACATTACTGGCTATCATACAATAAATACATAGACAATAGATCAGCCGCCCTAAACAATATGATGACACACCGAAGAAAAATATGATGCTTCACATTACTGGCTATCATACTATAAATACATAGACAATAGATAAGCCGCCCTAAACAATATGATGACACACCGAAGAAAAATATGATGCTTCACATTACTGGCTATCATTATTGCTATATCTTTCCACGTGGATCTCCACTAGATGCAACAAAGGGGCCTCGGATAGTGCATGCCCACCGAACCGTGGCTTTAGTTAACAATAATGGCCTCGAAACAAGTCAAGGCCTCGGAATCCACGTCGAAGGCTAGGAAAATATACCCCGATTTAATTAGGCTAGTCCCACTGTTAAAATATGATGCCACGTGTCGCTTCCGGTTTATAACCCGTAACACAGTATATATTTTAATGCTGTATTTTATCTGTATTCAAAGTAAGATTCCTCAAACCAGTAATTTAATATTAATTAATTTCTATTAAGACAAAGCAAAGCATATACATCTACATTAAAATGTTCTCCCATTTGTTCTCTACCATCTTCAATAATTCTATATAAACATCTTCCATAACAGGCAGGTATAATATAGCAGAAATTAAGCTCAAGAAACACAAAAATGGCGTCTGGTTCACTCAATACATGCACAGTCCAGAAATCTCGTGCCCTCCTGAACCGGGTTCACATTATTTTACATTTTACTGCCATTTTAACTCTACTTTATTACAGAATCTCAAACCTCTTGCATGGCAATGTTCCACTTGTTTCATGGATTGTTATCACTATTTCCGAGCTGATTTTCACGTTCTTATGGATTCTAACACAAGCTTTCCGGTGGAGGCCGGTGATTCGGGCCGTGGAGCCGGAGAATCTTCCCGAGGACGACAAGTTGCCTGGGGTGGATGTGTTTATTTGTACAACTGAGTCGAATAAGGAGCCGGTGGTGGAGCTAATGAATACGGTTCTGTCAGCCATGGCGCTCGATTATCCATCGGATAAACTGGCGGTTTATGTCTCAGACGATGGGGGAGCCTCCGTGACACTTGATGCTATAAAAGAAGCATGTGAGTTTGCTAGGTCGTGGATTCCTTTTTGTAGGAAATATGGTATCAAGAATAGATGTCCTGATGCTTATTTTTCAATGTCCGATGATTCTGAACGACATGTTTGGAGCGACGAATTCAAGGGAGAGGAACAAAAGATCAAGGTATGTTACAAATTTAAGAAACTATTTAATATTTTATCCTTAATTACTTTTGAATAATTTACATTAATTTTTATTTGAAAATTATTCTTACTTCTGTGTCAAAATAAGAAACTTAGATAAGAGCATGAAACCAATCCCTGGGGAAAAAAAAGAAAAAGAAAAAACATGGGAGTCTGATTTTTACCAAATCTTGTGCAGTTAAACTATGAAAAATTCAAGAAAAATGTAGATGAAGATCCCGAGGTCGAAGACTCCGACAGACCTGATCGATCCGCACATGTTGAGGTACGTATTGTTCTATGTTAATTAATAAATGAGAATGTTATCAGCAATTCAATATCACAGTATGGATTTCAAAGTGAACTGTTAGTTTTCAAATTCAAGTGATAATGATAATCTGAAAGCATAATTTAAATTGCAAATAGATAAATTGTTGTCTGGACATACATGCTTGGTTAAGATTAAGCCAAAAAATGCTTCTTTTTTGGCTTAGAGCATGAGCATGTTTCAGCTTAAATAGATTTTCTTGACAGGATGAAAATGCTTATTTTGATAGTATCAACAGTGATACTAACGAAATAGGCCAACTTCCTCTGTAGAAGAATTTAAGGCCAAACATGCTCTAAATAACACACTAAATTTTTGATGATTCAATTTATCTTTCTCGGTTTTTTCTGATTTTCTATCTTCTCAGTCATACTCGAAAGAGAATCAGGCCCCCTTTTGTGATCATTTGAGAAAAAAAGATTCTTTATATTGATTAAAAAAAGATTGGTGTCTAGAACTAAAAAAGATTTCCTTTTCACATAGAAATCCAGTTTAAATTAGAGGAACTGATTGATTTGCTTTTTACAGGTGATATACGATAACAGGAAGAACGAAAAACTAGAGGATAATCAATCTAAGATGCCTCTTCTTGTTTATGTATCCCGCGAGAGGAGGCCATCGCATCCTCATCACTTTAAAGCTGGAGCCCTCAATGCTCTTGTATGTAGAAACTCTTTCCTTTGTTGACCTTTTTTCTGGTAATAAGCGATCATATGTGCCCGTGCATGACTTGCATAAAATAATGTTCCTCTTGCAGCTCCGAGTTTCGGGAATAATGAGCAATGCACCCTACACACTAGTGTTAGATTGTGACATGTATTGCAATGATCCTACTTCTGCTAAGCAAGCAATGTGCTTCCATCTTGATCCCAAAATATCAGGCTCACTTGCATATGCACAGTTCCCTCAAGTTTTCTACAATGTCAGTAAGAATGACATTTATGATGGCCAAGCAAGATCTGCTTACAAGGTACAAGAATCTCATTTTCCACGCTCACGACTGTTTTTAGGTTGCAAGTGAAGGAAAGTTACAATTCGGGCCTCCAACCTAGTCAAAATGAGTAATTCTATTCATCATTAGTTTCAATCATCACCGTACTACATCCCACTAGGCCCCCTGATTCATTATCTAATAGAATTGTAATCATTTCAAAATATTTGACAATGAATCAAGGGATCTACTCTCATCTAGACTAATGATATTTAAAACTAATGATGAATAGCACTTTTAATTCAAAATATAGTCATTTGCGAGTTACACGACTTTCTAACCTCCATTTGAACCAAAACCATCACATCTCTTTCCTGCTTGTTGTATAATTTAAAGATTCAGAACCCACCTGGTCTAATTTCAATAGGTTCAATGGAAACTCTGACTGCATTTTTCCCCTTACGGGTATTGATGAAACTGATATTATCCACGATTGAACTTCTGTATATATGTATATAGACTAGGTATCAAGGTATGGATGGGATAAGGGGCACGGTTTGCGCAGGCACTGGGTATTATTTGAAGAAAAAAGCCTTGTACTGTCGTCCTAGTTATGAAGGTATTCCTGAATTTTCTTGTGGAATTGTTTTAAACAATGAGATTTACCAAATAAGATGAAAATATATCAATTAATATTTCATTGGTGGACAGATGAATTCCTTAGAGAGGCAGAAAAGAACTTCGGCCGCTCTAGTAAGTTCATTGATTCCCTAACGACACTAAACGGAAAACCTAACGATAAAAGAGAAAATTTGTCTGTCACGATTATAGAAGAGGCCAAATCCCTTGCCTCTTGCACATATGAAGACAACACTGAATGGGGGAAAGAAGTAAGTTTTAGCACACTTAAGTTTCCATTTCTTTGACAACCCGAAGCAAACTTTGTCGTTTCTTGTGCAAAATTCTATAGACGAAATATGACTTACATAGCTGACTGTAATATTTGTTGTTTTTGTTTTTTTGACGACAGATTGGTTACTCTTACGGCTGTATGTTGGAGAGTACTTTCACCGGCTATCTCTTACACTGCAAGGGATGGAAGTCCGTCTATCTTTATCCAAAAAGGCCATGTTTTCTTGGTTGCGCAACCATTGACATGAAAGATGCCATGGTTCAACTCATGAATTGGTCTTCTGCATTGGTCGAAGCTGGTCTATCGAGATTCAGCCCTCTCACTTATGGAATGTCTCGGGTTTCCATTCTTCAAAACCTCTGCTATGGATACTTCATGTTTTCGCACTTTTTCTCCGTGCCCTGCTTTTTATATGGCATAGTTCCTCAACTCTGCTTCCTGTATGGAATCCCTTTGTACCCTAAGGTACGTAAATTTCACTTAATTATTCGACTCAATTCATATAATAGAATTAGTAAAGTCAGTGAAAACCAAGCAAAGCAAAAATGCAAATTCATAGTAGTTAACCCTCGCTGTGAGAATTACGTTTACTCACTGCTGCAGATTATTTCGCTTTATGGAGAAGAGTACAAGGTTTTATTCACACCTCTCGCTCACTCAAAACCAACCCCCTTGAACCTTTTATCTAGTGTGAGAACTCACCTTGGGGGCATCTGCATCTGAACCCGAAAACACTATGATTAGGCTCAATACCGTCGAATAATTAGTATTCTTCAAGAGTACATTGCATTTTACTACAAACAATTGCTGACAACAATCATTCTCATCTCTCCTACACATAGATCCCATGTTTTTCACCTTAAAAGTGATTCTTGCACATGCTATGAGAACAACATCATTCTACAGATAACTGTCATGTTATTTTCCATTTCAGGTTACAAACCCCTGGTTTGCAGCATTTGCAACTATTTTCATATCATCCCTTTGTCAACATTTATATGAAGTACTCTCGAGTGGTGGCTCAGTTAGTACATGGTGGAATGAACAGAGAATTTGGATGATAAAATCAGTAACAGCTTGCTTATTTGGATGCCTCGACGTTTTCTTCAAATGGTTAGGCATAGCGAAAGCAAGTTTCCGATCGACTAACAAATCCATTGATCACGAGAAGCTCGAAAAATATGAGAAGGGTAAATTCAATTTCAAAGGCGCAAAAAATTTCATGATACCCTTAATCATGTTGGTTCTATTGAATTTGGGGTGCTTAATTGGAGGCCTCAGAGGATTGATTCACAGAAGAAATGTTGAAGAGATGTTTGGACAGGGTTTTTTGTCCCTTTATATTTTTGTTCTAAGCCTGCCTATACTAGAAGGACTGATACCAAAGCTGTCTAATTGAGGGGATGCTACAATTTCTATTGGAATTTTCAATGTAAGAAATAAGGTTCTTGTGATGTTTTAGTGAAATCAAAATAAATCTATGTGATCAATTTTATTTAACTCTTAACCAGCTTCTACTGTTTGCTTCTTAGTAAGGTTGTGCGTGGTTTGTCCTATGTTATGCCTAGGGATGGGAATAAGGTAGCCCATTTGATTGCTTGTTACTGATTCTTTAGATACTCACGTTTCATTTTGCTAACATCGACGTTTTATTATAATGAAAGTTCGTATTTGATCTTGAAAAGAAGCGATGTACGGTAACATACCCCATGTTCGAAAATCCACGAACATAAATGCAAGGCAAGTAAACAAGACTTAATATAACATGTGACAATGTAATAAATGATTAATTAATATCATGCCACAAAAACCGCCTTCAATTTTAAGACATAAATATCGTTGAAAGAATGGGTCACGTGCCTTTCAAGTGGCTATTGGACGAAAAGCCGTTATGTGCAAACAAAAAAGACATTATGGGGACATAAGTGTAATTAAAAAATGAATGGGGATCTAAGTTAGATAAATAGAAATGTTTGGGCACTTTGGGTGAGACTTTCCCTAAAATATGCCCTTGTTTGACACCCATTTTGAAGAAAAAATAAATTCTAAATTAGTGATTGATGGAAGAATATGTGGTTAAAAAGTAATGAGAATTTTTGGGTTTATGTGTAGTATTATTTTATTGATAGAATGTATGATTGAAATGAAAAAAGTGAAAAAATAAATGAGAAGAAAATGGGTGTCAAACAAGGGCAAAATCTCATTCCCAAGGTGAAATCATTTTCAAACTTAAAAAAAAAAAAAAAAATCTCTCTTTTTGTTTTGTTTCAGTCCAGCTCTTGAATCTCTTATAGGAGTCCACAAATTGAACCAAACCAATAGCGCCGGTACGAGCATCTGGGGCGACATGAGGGCCAGAAGAACAAGGCCTATCTCTACAGCTCATAGTGGAAAAGGGTACACTATCCGGTCAAATCTTCGACTTCAGATTCGAATCCAAATCAGTCGGTTTATCCGCAGAAACAACATAACTATCAAAGATGCCGACATTTACTCTAAGCACGTATAATCCAATCTAGGCCTAAATCGTATCCGTTTCCTGCCTCGAAGTGGTTGGACCATCCGGACCTTACGTTGTCGAATGGCACCATCTTGAACGACGCTGAGCTTGAAACCATCCGAGCCCAATGTTCTATCTAATAGTGATGTTGTCAAGATAGGCGAGCTAATGTCAATTAGAGTGAAATTTGAAGTGATAAGGTGTGAGGGTGAGGATAATGTAGGTAAAGCTAGGATAGAGGTGTCAATCCGGGTGGTCCGGGCCGGGGCGGCCCGCCAACATGTGAGCCCGGTAACGGCCCGCGTGAAAAAAAGCCCGCCCGCTGCGGGTTCCGGGCCGGTTACGGGTCGGCCCACAATTTTGGACTACAACCCAGGCCCGCCCGCTGACCCATCCGGGTCGAGCCCATGCGGGTCACGGGTCGCGCGGGTCGCGGTTCGTTCCGATTTTGGCCCGTATGATTGTATAAATAAAATTATAAAAATATAGAATTTTTCAGGTTTGGCCCATATGGAGAGCAACTATCATTGAAAATAGGATTTTGAGAAGAAGAATCGCGAGAATCCATAATATAGTAGGATTAAAAAATTTAGTAGTGACTAGTGAGAACCGAGAAGAAAGAAATATAATCAAGATGATGATGATATTTGCAATTGAATAATTGTAATTGTAGTAAGGTAGTAACAAGTATGAACTATGAAGTATAAATGTATAATAACTAATGAGAGGGTATTGTAAAAATAAATGTAAGAATAAATTGGAATTTATCGATGAAGGGGATGATATTACCGTTAGAAAATTTATATTACCATTAGTTAAAATTAAAAAAAAAAAAATTGACCATGCAGCAGGCTACGCCTTTTTTTGAATTTTTTTTATTTTTATTTTTTCAAATTTTTTTGTTTGGCTCTCTCCCCCCTCTTTTTTTAATTTTGTTTTATTTTTTTTTTTCAATTTTTTTTTACGGGTCGCGGGTTAACCGCGGCCCGTGGGGGTGCAACCCGCGAAGCCCGCGGGTTACACCTCCTTCTCCCGTGAACCGCCCGCACGGGTCACGGGTCGGCCCACGGTCCCGATTTTCACGGGCCGATTTTCACGGGTCATGGCCGGCCCGTCCGTCTTGACACCTCTAAGCTAGGAGGAATCTGAGGCGAAGAGCAGCGGGTCGAGGATGGAGAGTGGTGGAATTGGTGGGAATTGATGAGGGTTCTGGGTTAGCGATTGAGGATAAATTGGGGGATAGGAATAATTTGAGGGGCATGGCTGGAAATGGAAAAGATGTGGTTCTGGAAAATAAAGGTGGAGAATTGAGGAATAATGATGAGGGAAAGGTGCGTGGAAGGAGGACTCGGGGGTCAATCAGGGTTTTAGAAAATAGTTGCAAAGAAATGGATAATGTAGGGAAAGTGAGTTTGAGGTTTATAAGTTCTCAAACAGAAGTGGATTCAGAGGCTTTAGAAAATGGCAAAGAAGATATTGTGGAACAAGTGGAATATGTGGGGAAAGTTAAGAGGAAATGAGGGAAGAACGTGAGCACGATGAGGATTAGAAGTGCAAAGGAAGAAGAGAAATTGGAAGATGTTAGAATTTGGGTGTGACCCGAATTTCTTGTTGAAATAATTGAAGAATTCTAATTGAAGTGTACGTCTGAATAATTCAAATTTGGAATATTATTGGAATCCTATGTCATGTTGAAGTTCTATTTTGGAAGCTCATTAGGAGTTGGAATTTGTGTTGGACTCAATTTTATGGTATCTTACTTCATCAACAACTCTACTAGATAGGTTTGGACATTCCTTACTTATTTCCTATAAATACTAGGATCTTCTATACAATTTTATAATGCGAGAAAATAGATTACTAGAATTATAGGATCCATTGTAATGTTCTCTCTTCTCCATTATTTTTAAGTCAATAAAATTTCTTAATTCATCTACCATATACTTGTCTTCTTTATTTTTTTGTTTGATCAAATATTTCATTATTATTTGCCATATAACTTTAACATTTCAATCCTGTGGTTTGTTCCACAACAATTGGTATCAGAGCGATAGGTTCAGCAGTTTCGCAAGAGCGTAAAGTTTGATTTGTTCAAGGTTTTTTTATTTGTGATGGTTTCCATGAAGTATGACATTCCGCTTTTTGATCAGAGTACTAGATTTTCTCTATGACAGGTTAGGATACGTACAGTACTCGTACAACTGAATTTGGATGATGCGTTGTTGGGAATTAACAAGATGCCTACAACTTTGACTGCGGAGGAGAAATTACGGAAGGATAAGAAGACAGTTTCTCACATTCATCTTCATTTATCAAATACTATTTTTCAGGACGTTTTGAACGAGAATTCACCAGCTGCTTTATGGTTGAGGTTGGAGCAATTGTGCATAAAACCTCAAACAACATTTATACTTTCATCGAATAGTAGAAGGAGGATCATTGGAAGATCACCTGACTATATTTAAGGAGATCGTTGTTGATTTGAAAACTTTGGAAGTAGAGTATGATGAAGAAGATTTGACCTTGATCCTATTGTGTTTGTTGCCTGCTTTGTTTTCTTCATTTAGAGACACGATTTTGTATAATTGTGATACCCTCACCATAGAGGAAGTGTATGATGCTTTGTATTCAAAAGAGAAGATGAATCATTTGGTTTCTGAGGCCAGAGATGGAGTAGGCCTGGTTGCTCATGGTAGTTTTGGAAGTGGCAAATCGAAATCTAAATTCAGTAATCAAATTTGTAACTACTGCAGAAGAAGGTGCACTTATAGAAGGATTGCTACAAATTGTAGAATAAAAAAAAGATGGCTGCAAGTAGATATTTAGATACTTCAGGCGAAGCAATGAAACTGTTTCTAAAGGTGTCGTGGTTATAGGAAACAACGCATCTTGTCGGGTTGCTGGAATTGGCACAGTCAGATTGAAACTTTTTGATGGGAGAATTAGAACACTTGGTCAGGTTCAACATGTTCCAAACTTGAAGAAAAATCTCATCTCATTATCTATCATTGATTTAAAATGTTATGAGTTCTTTGGTGGAGGTGGACCTTTGAAAGTTTGTAAGGGTGCTCAAGTTGTATTGGAAGGACATAAAAGGTCTCGATTATACATCTTGCAGGGTCATGCAGAATTAAGAAGAGTCAATCAGCACAAGTTCAAGACCATGGTGGACATTCAGTTTGGTAAAATACCTTTAGGAGCTCATAAATGGTCGGATTTGAAGAATACAATTCAGTGAAGTTCAGGAGATATGGATAATGCCGATTTGCCACCATCACCTGCAGTGCCATTGTATTCAATTGCTAGAGACAGACCCAATGGAAAAGGGTATGTGGATGCTGATTTTGTTGAGCATACTTTAAGTGGAGTAGAAGGTGTACAATCTCGCAAAGAGCCTTCTGTAAAAACATTTGATATTTATTCTGCTTTGTGGTGTTTTACAACCTAGTTTTGTAAATTATAAAATCATTATGATTTTTTGGAATTTGAGGTAATTCTGCAGAGCAGTATTTGGATTCATTGGAAGAAGTGAAGTATTTTGTGTTTGGTTGAAGAAATTAATTTTTTTTTTGTTATTATTAAAGAAGTCAGTTCATTCTTTGGTTGAATTTGTGTCAAGCTGGAGATTTTTAGAATTTGAGTGTGACCAGAATATGCACGAGAATTACATAGAGAAATATTGGATAAAAAACTTGTATGGCCACGGTCAAGGATATAGAGCCCTTTCTCACATCTCCCGACTCCAACCATCGTTCTTGCTACTAGATCGTGTATTGTAAAACTAGAAAAAGAAAATGTCACTGAACAATTATTCTCATGAGTTAACTTACTAATTAACAAGAGATTTTTAGTATTGTGAGGAACGAGAAGAACATCAGACATTTTGAAAGGGGATGAGATGCAATAACAGAAGAGATTGAATCAACGTGAGAAAAAGGCAATGCTTGACCATTACCTACAACAACCCGTTGAATACCAGTATATGGGACAGAGTTGTCAAGTGCAGCACCATCATTGGTTATGTGAGATGTTGCACTTTTGTCTGTGTACCACTTAGTATCTTAAGAATCATAAAGAGAAGTGGCTGCAAAAGCTTCAATCAGACCTTCAACCTTAGCCTTCTTTAGTATTTTACCAAGTTTGTAGCATTTCTTTGCAGTGTGCTGCACTTTTCCACACCATTGACAGAGAGTCTCAAAGGTTTAAGAAAATTGTCCTGATGCTATAGATGAGTGAGCTGGTTTAGAACGACCAAAGAATAAACCTCATTGGACAACCATAGCCAACTGAGAAAGGGAATCTCTAGGGATTGACCGAGAAAAGCTCAAGGCTGAGAGCTTTTGGAACCAGATTTGCAAAAGTGGGTAGTGACAATTGGGACATGGAGGTGGAAAAAATTTTAAAATTAGATCTAAGTACACGGAGAAACCACTGGACCTTATCCGTTTCATCAACAAGTTTGCCAATAGCGCTAAGTTGTTCACATAGAGATCGAAAAGAGCACACATGTTCAACAACTACACGATTGCCACGTTGCATTTGTTGGAGTTCTTTGGTCTTTGAACTGTGAGAAAATGAAACTTCAGGAGATAGCCAAGCATCAGAGAGTAGTACAGTTAACAACTTCAACCATACATTCTTCAGTGAGGGAGGCATAAAGAATGTTGAGTAAAAATCTATCCTGCTAGTGCCAAGTCTTGTAGACAGGGTTAAGGGCATCTTTATTGCTAGTACGAACTTGAACAGGTGCAGACAAAGACCCATCCAAATAGCCCATAAGATCTTGACTTTCAAGCAAGGGAACAAATTGGCGACGCCACAAGAGAGAATATGTGGGAGTGAGTTTAATGGTCACCATGTGAACCATTGTATTAAGCGGAAGCACAGAGATGTTGGATTCAGCCATGGCAAAACAATTAAGATTTGACCGATTATGGCTTTGATACCATGAAAAGAAAATGCCTCAAGCAATATGCTATGAGGATGTTCATTTATATACAGAAGATACATGTGTAGATATGGAAACAATATATACAGTGTAAATAACTATAATGATGGATTGAATTACTGATATTATGGGAAGAGGCTATAATTGAGGATCAGCTATAATGGTAGATCAGATCACCAATATTATGGGAGAAGGCTATAATTGTCAATATTATGCACAATTGGAGGGAAAATCTTCACAGATAGAGAGAGAAATAAACATGAAGAATAATGTTTTTCTCTTATTGATATGTAAGTAGCAACCATAGAATATATACAATAGAATATCCAGCTGTGTAAATGAAAGCTCATTAGTTCTAACCATTTTCAACTAATTATGGATAATTACATAAATATCCTCACCGTATGATCTGCAAGACTCCCTCTCAAGATGGCATGTGAATGTTCAAGACACCCATCTTGCTTAACAACATACGAAATCTGGCTCCTCGTAATGCCTTTGTCAACAAATTTGCCAATTGGTTTGTGGTGGATAAATGCATGGTTTTTATGTCGCCTGATTGCACTTTCTCCCTCACCAAATGACAATCCAATTCTATGTGCTTCGTTCTTTCGTGGAAGACAGGATTGCTCGCTATATGTATTGCCGCTTGGTTATCACAAAATAAGAGGGCAGCCTTAGAATGATCAATTCCCAAATCTGATAACACCTTTTTGAGCCAAATTATCTCAAAAACAGCTGCAGTCATTACCTTGTACTCTGCTTCAGCTGACGATTTGGAGATGGTATGTTGTTTCTTCGAACGCCAGGAAATCATGAAATCTTCAAGAAATATGCAGTATCCCGTAACAGATCGTCGGTGTCTACACAAGATGCCCAATCAACGTCGCAAAATCCTTTAAGTTCTAGGCTAGACTTTGCAGGAAAGAATAATCCTTGCCCAGGTGTTCCTTTCACATATCTCAACACATGTAATGCTGCTTCTAGATGAGGTTTTCTTGGAGATTCAAGGTACTGACTCAGAACCTGTATTGAAAAAGACAAATCAGGCCTTGTGATAGTCAGATACAACAACCTTCCAATCAGCCTCCTATACATGCTTGGATCATCAAGCAACTCCCCCTCATACTTAGTCAACCTTAAGTTCTGTAACATAGGACATTTAGCAGGTTTCGACCCTAGGTATCCAGCATCTTCAAGAACTTCTAAGGCATACTTACGTTGACAGACAGAAATTCCCTTGGATGATTTAGCCACTTCAAGCCCTAAGAAATATTTCAGAACCCCCAAGTCTTTTAATCGAAACTGGTTATCAAGATCTTTTTTGAACTGTTCGATATAAGGCAAGTCATTGCCCCCTATGATGATATCATCAACGTATATAAGAAGGACAGTGAATGAGCAGCTAGTCCTCTTACTGAAAAGAGAATAATCGGATTTAGACTGAACAAATCCCTGAGAAATGATAAATGATGACAGCTTGGTGTTCCACTGCCTTGAGGATTGCTTAAGGCCATATATTGATTTGTTTAGTTTACAAACCAACGTGATACCATCCTCCCCCTGCTGCTC